AATGCTGGGAAAATATGGATTGAAAGTAATGAAAATTTGAGATTTGAATGCTGTAAGTGAATGTAATATTCATTATACTTTATCATCTTAAGTGAATATGATGCTAAAATCACATTAACATCACATGAATATGATGAAAATGTGGTATTCAACCGCTTTGCGCCGCGAGTGAATGTAGTGCGAAGACCATATTTACCTCATTTTAGTGTTATGATTAATCTAAAATATACTGTAGTTACTGTTCTAATGATTGTTAATTACTTATACTAATAAGTGAACTTTTTAGTCATCATGTACAACAGTGATATAGATTTGTAGTTATCATTCATGTTATATTCAATATACTAAAATTTAGTTTTTATATCTTTATATGTATACATAGAAATACTATGTTATTCTTTAAAAAATAAAGATATTTAACAGAGAAAATCTACTGTTGTTCAACATGTAAACATGATATACACTAGTATCAAATATAAAGTGAATATGATATTTGCTGCAATGTGATTTGAGGTGAATATGGTGTGAATCTGATATATACCTCATGTTCAACATGCCTAGTAAAGATGAAGGGTATATGATAAACACAATGATATCAAATATACAGTGAATATCAAATTTAACTTAGATTCATGTAGGTGACGAATATGACATGAATATCACATTTCCTTTAGTTTCAAGCCTATATAGTGAATGTGGTGGGAATGTGGTATACACCACATTCACTAACCTATGTGAATGTTATATTCGGTACGAAGTGAATATGATCAAATGCGAGTGAATATGGTATTCACATCAAATTCACTTTAGATTTGCAATGCTGTGAATCCGTTTTTTCGTGCAGGATCATTTTCCTAGAGTAGGGCTCTTTATCTCATCTTCTATATCATATTGATCAACACTAATACAATTGCTACTGAAGAACACCTTCCTTACGTCCAAAAAAAAAACATTTTAAGAATCGACGACTATATGTCAATAACGTAATAACAAAAAGGTTTGATTGTTGTTTACAGTATTTTGCTGCCTTTTAAGGAAAAGCTAGTTTACCACGGCTTCCAGATCAGCTTTACACGCTACAAATGAATCTTCATTTCATTGGAATCCTTTTTTTCGTCCTGTGGAAAATACAACTCTCAAGTTGCTATGGTAAGTAAACAGCAAGTAAAGGATTTTTTTTCTCAATATGTATTAGAAAAGTAACCGTGATAAATAGCATAACTAATGGCACTAAAACTGTCCGAATATCTGATTGATGAGTATTGATTGAGTTCAAGAAGTCGTCACACCTTTTTATCAGCAGAGAGTTCGCAAGGTGTTTCAACGATCTTGTTCATATGATTTTTGTTTGTTTGATTGTTTTGTATTGTTGTTATTTTGTTGTTCTTTTGCTTTATTTTGTTTTTATTTCCCTTCTTCTTTTTGTTAAATATCTTCTTCAATCTTACTTGCTATATTTTACGAAATGCAAGCCAGACTCAGTAATTTTATACAGGATGTCCGTTTTAACTCAGACGGTCTGATACATTAGTCCATGTGACTTTCCAATAAAGTAACCTAATTGGGCATCAAATCTAGATCTCTCTCATATGTATATAGTTTATCATTTGATGAAATATAATTGCGCTTCCAATCTTGGAGAAGCAAATCAAGCAATCGGACATCCATTTTAGCTTGCTCTCTTCTTCTCCCTACTATACCTTATGACTGAATAGTTTTGCTGAAAACACAATACCTGAAAACAGCACTGAAATCGATTAACAAATTCTACATGAGTACATTGTACATGTACTGGCAATGAAGTAAGTAATAAAATAAAAATGTCTCCATATAAGACATCGTATAAAGATATCGAAAGAACATAGTTCACTTAAGTCCTTCAAGAGACCTTTAAGATACATGATGTCATGATCCTACCCCATTAGTATTTATATCTTTAATAATAATTGTAATTTTTATAATTATTGTAAATTATTAAAATTAGGGAAATTATACTCTTAATCATCACTGTAATTTTATCAGTTTTGTACTTTTTGTAAATATGGAAACCATTGTAAATTAGGCATGAAAAGCCATTTTTGGATTGCTTAATAAAATTATTGTATTGTATTGTATTGTCGTATCTGCTGTAGTTCAAATAGAGTGGTTTTCCGTCTGCCATGAAAAGAAATAGACCAACTAGTTAGTAGCAACACTAAGTAATAGTCAATATATTGCCCTTGAATACCTAATTAACTACTACGTTCAACTTAGAAATTTTAAAACTTTGCAATTTTAAACTTGAAAGAAAGAAAGAAAAATTCAAATGACACCATTAACAATTCGCAGGCGGTTTTCCATTGTCTGTACTCTTATTGACAATGAAATTGACGTCTTACGCTCGTGGTTCCACTTGAGTTTTGAGCATTTTTGACGTCAATTTCATTGTCAATAAGAGTACAGACAATGGAAAACCGCCTGCGAATTGTTTTTTATAATAACTTGTAGATTTCTCCATTGAAATCATTGTTTCTTTTGCGGAATTCTGCGCAGTTTCACTTGTAAATTGTTTTGCGTGACAAGCGTGACTGTTTTCGTCATTTTTACTCTTCCTCTCGCTTTTTGATTGGCTACAACTCTAAATACTCCATTCTGATTGGACAATACAACAGATAAGATTGTTCAAATTTTCAATTTCGAATTTGACAATTTAACAAGATTCGCATCATTCTTTCAAAAGTAATCAATGGAAATGTACAAGAAAATCCAAAAACTGCTCAAAATATGAMAGAAAAACATCACTTCTTAGGAATAACAAAAGATACATGGGCATTATTAATGGTGCAGCCACTGAAAAAACCGCTTGGAACTTGAAAAGGAGCTGGCGAGGAAAAGCTTGCCGAAGTCGTGGTGAAAGTGGAAGTTGTGATGGCTGTTGTGGACTCAGACTGTTGGCCATCGAGGGCAAGAGACAAGATGTTTGAGCATCTTTTGAGCTGGTCTGCTGATGGCCTCTCATTATAGCTGGATATGCTCTGCTCGTTTACATGGCCGGAGATGGCCATTATATGTCGAGCGGGAACTTCGGCATTGGACCAGATCGTGATGGCCGTCGCTCTGACACTGTGGTTGGTGTAAATCTTCGACAAACTAGCTCCAATAGATATCTCCCTCATCATCTTTCCTATCTTATTGATGCCCAGCGGCTTATTCTCGTACCAGACGTCGTCTATCTCTGTTACAATGGTTTTTGGGTGCTGGTAGAAAGCACTTTGTTTTGGGTTCAGCTTGGTCATGTATTTATCCATACACCAGTACGAATCGCCAATTTCACCTGTTGAATACAGTCGCGTTTCCTTCTCGTGGCTTGGTTTTTCAACAATACCACCCTGGTGGTTTTTGGTCTGTTCGTTGTGTGTCATTATCACATATTGATGACCATCTGCATCGGTTTGGAACTTG